TGGCACAACAGTTTCAGAATAGATAAGTGAATAGCACGTAACATTGATATGCATTGAAATTTTAAACATTTAATGGCAAAACGGGGGGGCACACGCCCTACAGGATCCGCCCTTGGTCGGTGAAAGCATGTAGAGATTGCATGGAAACCGAGCCTAACCTCACCTCTTGCAAGCTGATGTCTGCAGTCCTACCACTTACAAGAAACGGAACATACTCAGCTTTCGTAGCAGGAACCGGTGTAGCAATATTAGCTGGTACTAACTGAAAGACAAGCAACAATAAATAACAGAACAAAGTATCCATGTGATATCGTAATTAAACACTTGTGGTGGACATAAACTTTGGCATACAAACTTCTTACAAGGTAGTTTTGCACTAGGGAATGCTGAACATTAACTCGCATCACTTTCTTTTCTGACTATAAAATGATGCCACCATTTAAAGAATTGTAGTCCTGTTAAAATTGCAGACAATCTGTATCTGTACAGTCTCGTGCAAACACCTTAAGGTTGTCGTCGCACGTAAATATAATCTCTGCCTAAGTAAGCCTAATTATATTTTCATGAAATTACAAATGACAAGAATTTATTTTAGATATATTATAAAACAAATGAACTGTTCTGTATTTGTGTATTTGGTATCTCTTAAGAAAACAAGGATGTACTTTAGGTGTGTTAATCGAATAACAAATGTTTTGTATTCGTGCAATGAGAAGAATATTCATAAGCTGAATCACCACCTCACTGAATGTTTAGTAAATCTTTCAACTCATGAAATACCTTTCCACTGCACTCATAAACATTCATTATTTATACACCGTATTTACTTACAGGTTTTTGACGAGGCGGTTATTCGTGGGAGGCGATTATTCGGGGGAGGCATTTATTTTTTGGGTGTAAAACATAGAGCTATTAAACAACTAGAGTGCTGACAAGATGGCGAAGCAATGCAGAGTTATGTATGTGTACCATCCAAGATGGCCGCCGTAGTAAAGCGCCACCCTCAGGCTTAGTATACATATTTTTACTATAAATAAGCCCTCTGACTGACTATTATTTCATTAATGATAATGAGTAATGGTAATAACAAATTATTAAACTATTGTATCCAAAACGAGGCCAAGTGGAGCATTTTATTCAAAAATAAAGTATCAAGGAATGAAAATTAAAATCGTGTACATTACACCCAAACACCGCAATGCTCGAGTTTCAAACATACGGGTAACTAGCTGTACTGAACTTTCTGAGTAAATTGAGGGCGCAATTGCAAACGATGGTGCTTAGCGAAATTTAATTGGTTAAATCTATGGCAGCCATCTTGGATGGTACACACACACAGTTCTGCGTATTTCGAACATCGAATACATTGCGGTTAGCGCTCTAGTATTCTTATTATATCTCTATGGTGTAAAATGAATACGTAATACAGTATACTCAAATATACACCCCTTAATTTCACTGTAAAATGTGGAATTACAATACATAATTACAGTCAAAAAGTGTTATTGCATGATCATAAAGACTTACTGATCCCAAACAGGTTTAAGAAAAATGTAATTCTACAGTAGAATATTAATACAATGTGTTGAAAATGATGTTGCTTCCATTAGTTTTGTTTAGTCATTTAAAGGGGCGTTTATTCAAGGAAAAAATAAATGCCCCGGTGCAGATATTTGAGGGAAGCGTTTATTTCAAATGTTTACTTGAGGGGAGCGTTTATTCAAAGCGGAGTGCTTATTCAAATAAATACGGTAATATTAATTTGTCGCCATAAATTCTCAGCTTACCACATATTCTGCGAAAGCCCCATTAGACATGTAGGCTACTCCTTGCCCATGTTCAAACTTCTGGACATCACTGCCGACATCAACAACTTCACCAACACCCTAAAAGAAGACAGTTTCAAAATTAATGCACTTACTTAAACAATACAAACTCAGAATTATTATTACGAGTCAGTCGAAGAGGTGTAATTGGTAGGCAATTGTAGTGCTAAGATTTATAATCTAATTTCTTTTTAATGTGCAAAATACAACATAAATTTTAGCATACTGAACCAGAAAAAACAAAAGTTAATGCGTTGCCCTGTAACAAGTGTAATATGTGCACCCACAACACCATATCAAAGAGTATATTAAAGCAAGTGGTCTGATTGCTCTGATTTTTTAATGGAATGAAAACAAAAGTACCACCACGAGGGAGGGGGTGCCTCATTACAATTCGAACAGAGTTCGAAAATTGAGCATGCTTTCTATAGATGCAGCACATGTCCAATACGAACAACTTATACATTAATTTGAAGACTAGAGCACCCTATAGTTCGTGGTAGTACTATTCAAGATAGGATCCCTCTTAAAGTGCACATAATCGCATAGAGATTATTCCTGCGATCATGTGTTGCCGCACAGCCAATAGCAAAAGGCAAGTTTAGGATGTTCATGTATTAACTTGTGAGAGAGCCACTCTATAAAATGATGAAGAAAAATGAAATGAGAAAAATGATTACAAAATGTTAAAATTGCCTCGAATCCAATGTCGAATGGTGGTCTAGCCGTTGGGTCATATCTGCCTGCAGTAAAATTAATGTCAGATGCATTTATACCAACAAACCTGTTAACAAAAAAAAAATTTAATATGTTATTAAATTAATTTTGAAGAGGTTTTTCACTTTAACACTTATCATTTTTTAACAATATAATGTTTTATTAATTAATTACAACCAATTACAGGAATGGAAAAATCCAGACTATTTTTTTTTCCGTTATCAGGACAATGAAACATAAATACCATTTTAATCAATCAATCAAGCGATCAATCGACAGTTCAATCAACCAACATTAATGGAATGTTCTTACACAGAGCTTCTTTACCAAAATTTTACTATCAAGCCGACTTATTCAGTTACATATTTAGGAATCCTGAAAATGGAGGTTGATGGAGGGCCACAAAGGTGGGGTGGGGACTCAATAATTAAGTGAAGGGGAACTATGTCACAAAATAAGGTGGTTTCACTACTTCAGCATGGTTTTTGGCTTGACATTTACAATGGGGGTCTTGAAGAGGGGGAATTTACTTTCTTTTTTTTTTTTTTGGGAAGGGAAGGGGGGGGGGGGAGCGGCGTGCGCACTTCCCTAGAAACGGCACTGGACATATTATACAGTAGATGTTATACAGATTTGTAATTAATACAGTAAATCAATGAAAGTTTAGCCACTAGAGGGAGGCATATATTAATTATCCTTCCTCATGATTCAGCAGTTTGGCTTTATTTACCTATTTCTGATAAGTAAATCTCCTGGCCCTGGCTTCAACATCGGTACTGTCTGAAAGGTGACAGCTTCTTTGAAGTTTTGTGTCAACTTGGAGACGATCATCTTCCTGAATGTCCTTGGTAAAGCGGATGCCATCTTGAATTTGAATGTCTTAGGCAAATAACAATCAAGGGGACTGGCTAAATAAATTAAGGAATTATTATTATTATTGAATACTGGAAATTCAATCGCTCACTGGTTGCCTACAATAACTGGATACAGTACAATTTATGTTATTGTTTTGTTTCTTTTTTTGCTTTTTTACCTAAGTATATAGTTATAAATGTTGCAAATTTTAAGCCAAAAGACATTAATTACTCTGAACTCTATAGGGGCCTACAATGTAGAAAACCAGAAGATCCACTAATTAGTTTCAAATAAAACAAAAAGACAGCAAATCCGAAAAGAGAAAGACTTGAGATTCAACGTTTCGATTTATTTGATAATGATCAAATAGCTTGAAACGTTGAATCCCCACAATGTAACTATCTACTCTAATTAAATCGTAGTGATGATTATGATCATTATTTATACGAATTGTATGTATTATTGTTTGAAAAAATATCCCATAGCATTCTAAATGTTTAAGAAATATCTTAAAATGAGTTTTCAGTGTTTTTTATTAAACATTTGAGGATTTTTTCCTACATTTTATAGAAGTATCTGAACAATCTTATCTTCAATTGCAGGAAATGGTTTTACCTCTTTCATAATATATTTTTTGTACAATCATATTTATTGTCATAACTTTATTGTAGCTTTATCAAAATTTATTTAACTGTTATTTTATTTATATTGTTCATTTTTTTAGCTTCCAATTTGTAATTTTACCTCTGCATATTTTTGTATTGAACACGTTGTTTTTGTCCAGTTTTCATTGTTTTTAATTAATTTTTAGCATGCCTTTTCCCAAATAGCTGCTTGATTGAGCATTTTATTTTAATTGCTATTTATTGTAATTCAGTTTTAGCAATAAAAAAATACTTGAATAGGACTAGGGCTACTTACTTCAATTTGAAACCAAATTTTCATATTAATAAGTTGCCTACACATCCAAAACCAGGCAACTGTTTCATACTGGTGGTAGACTGTGTGAGTAAACTGTATGTAGGCTTAGTTAGGGCCTAAACCAGTCTTAAATCATTGGGTGATTTTTAAAATATTCATCCAATCAGGAGCACTACACTACACTAGGCCTCAGCCTAGTAATAGTATACCATACGAACCGAAAACAGATGAGAGCTGCTGCAGCCTTCCCAGTCACGCCTTCAACGCAAATGACTGATGACAGAAATGAAAGTGTTTACGGCCTAGGCCGTATTCCACTTCTAGGTTTGGCAGGCCACGAGGCGAATTTGCGCTTCTTCATAAAATAAATCTTACTCCTACCTAGGCCTAGCCTAGCCTAGGCTAGTAGTAGTCGGCCTAGGCCTATATGGGCCTACCTACTCGTTCGTAAATCGTAGTAGGCCTAGTAGTGAAATTTGGCTTCAAATATTCTTTAAACATTACCGTTATACCTAGATGTGGCTAGATGTAAACTTATCGCTTTGAAAATTTGGAATATGAAAAATCTATGCAACACGACGATTTTAACCTACCTTCCTACTCATCAAATCTACCTTGCGCAAACAAGGTCACCTATTTTACGGTTTTGCTAGGGTCCAAAATCCGATCAGAGCTCTGCTCACCAGTGCGTGACGTGCTGGCTCGCCTGGGGAATGGAAGAATACTTAGTATTTTAGTACGCGCTGTCATTCGTTGAAAAAAACAGTGGCGAATTTGGGTAGGGGTACCACTCTATCTAAAGTTTTCAAAATAAAAAAATTAAAAAAACAAACGTGTTATTGTATTCTAATGCCTGAGAGTGCTATACGTCAGATCACCTCTCTGAAATTTTCACGGAACATTTCGCTTTAAAAAGAAATGCGATATAATCACTGTTAATTACATGGCTGGCGGAACTTTTTGGCAAAAAATATATAATGTCTGTAGATTTTTGTATGATCGGAAATGCAAGAAAAGAAGGAGGAGAAGGATGGGAAAGAGAATGTTTATCCAGTACCCGACCGAGTTACATTTTCTCGCAATTTACATTGGCGGATATGAGAGAGGGGGGTCATGGGTCTTGACCCCTCCCTAATTGGGCAACAAAAAAAAGGGGGAAAAGAAAAAGAATTCTAGACCTACCTTTTCGGGACCCGGGAGCTGATTTTTTTTTTTTTTTTTCTTTTGTTAAATTAAGAAAATTAGAATTTTGAACAACATAAAAGTCATTAAAACACACTTCAAATGTCATTTCCCGCCATCTAGGAATCAAAATTTTCAAGGGGGAGAACCCCTGACCACCCTTTCTTTTTGGGATTTATCGATTCATGGCAAAAAGAATACGCATGCAGCTACTCATTTGTTTATGTGTGAATACACACATAAAATAAAAAATGAGAAAAATTTACCTGACTGTTTTCAAGAGGGGAAAACCTTGAATTTTGAAGAACTTAAAATACATTTCAGAAGTCAGGAAAGCTCATTTCCCGCCATCTATAAATCGAAATTTTCCCGGGGAACACGAACCTTTTCTTTGGAGTTCATTGATTAATTGAATATTTTCAAGAGGGGGAGGGGGGCACCTTGAATTTTGAAGAAAAAGTCATTAAAAGACACCTAAGAAGTCGGGAAAGCTCATTTCCCGCCACCTAGGAATCAAAATTTTCCCGTGGAAGAACCACAGGACCCTCCCCCCCCCCTTTCTTTTTGGGATTTACCGATTCATGGAAAAAAAATACGTATGCAACTTGCTTGCAACATTTTTATACACACATAAGGCCTATTTACTGTAACAACAATGGGAAAAAAATTATTACCTTTAATTTTAAAGAACTTAAAGTCGGGAAAGCTCATTGCCCACCACTTACAAATCAACATTTTCCCGGGAAGAACTCCAACCTCCCTTTCTTTGGGTTCATTGATTCATTATAATAATTTTCAAGAGGGGAAAACCTTAAATTTTAAAGAAATTAAAAGTAATTAAAAGACACCTCAGAAGTTGGGAAAGCTCATTTCCCACCTTCTAGGAATCAAAATTTTTCAGGGGGAGAATCCCCGGACCCCCTTTTCTTTTTGGGATTTATCGATCGATTTATCGAAAAAAAATCGTATGCAACTACTCAATTTTTCGTGTAGGCCTATGTATACACACATAAGGCCTATCTACTGTAATAACAATGGGAAAAATTTACCTGACCGTTTTGAAGAAGGGAAAATTTTGAAGAACTTTTAAAGTCACTAAAAGATACTTCAGAAGTCGGGAAAGCTCATTTCCAACCATTTAGAAATCAACATTTTCCCGAGAAGAACCTGAACCTCCCTTTTCTCTTTGGGTTCACTGATTCATTATAATAATTTTAAGAGGGGAAAACCCTGAATTTTGAAGAATTTAAAGTAATCAAAAGACACCTCAGAAGTCGGGAAAACTCATTTCCCGCTTTCTAGGAATCAAAATTTTCCCGGGGGAGAACCCCCCCCCCCTCCTTTTTGGGATTCATCGATTCATGAAAAATTCGTATGCAACTACTCATTTTTTTAAAAAATTTTTATGTATGTATACACACATAAGACCTATTTACTGAATAACAATGGTAAAAAATTACCTGACCGTTTTCAAGAGGGAAAAACCTTGAATTTTGAAGAACTTAAAAGTAATTAAAAGACACCCCAGAAGTCGGGAAAGCTCATTTCCCGCCTTCTAGGAATCGAAATTTTCCCGGGGGACGACCCCCGGATCCCCCCCTTTCTTTTTTGGATTCATCGATTCATGGAAAATTCGTATGCAACTACTCATTTTTTTTTAAATGTTATGTGTGTATAGACACATAAGGCCTTTACTGTAATAACAATGGGAACAAATTACCTGACCGTTTTCAAGAGGAGAAAACCTTGAATTTTGAAAAACTTAAGACATCTCAGGAGTCGGGGAAAAGCTCATTTTCCGCCATCTAGGATGGACTCCCCTTTTCTTTGGAGCTTGTCGATTCATTGAAAAAAGAATACGATATGCAACTACTCATTTTCTAAAGGTATACACACATAACAGGCTTATTTACTGTAATGAGAAAGTTTACCTTACCGTTTTCAAGAGGGGGAAAACCTTGAATTTTGAAGAACAAAGTCATTAGACACCTAGCTCAAAAGTCGAGAAAGGTAATTTCCAGCCATCTAGAAATCTAAATTTTCCCGGGGGAGGAATGCTGACCCCACCACCTAGGTTTGATTCCCGATCTGCATGATTCATATTCCCATTCATCTTATAAGTGCCCCCACTTTCAAAAAACGTTCCGTCGGCCCTGAATTAGGCTTAAAAATAGGTACTCGAATTTGTTTTAATGAAAATATCACTCTCGGCATTCACCATCTTCATTGTCAATTCAATTCAATTCAATTCTTTATTCAATCCACTTAAAAAAATGCACATGCAGTAAAAATAAAATATGATATATTATTTAAAGATGTCCATTTTCATTGAACATGTGGATGCCAAATTGGATATGACTGACAAATCATCCTATGGGGGTGGCCAACAAATATATAAACATTAAGTACACTTTGCCTTTTATATAGCCTTTTTTTAACTCCAATGAGGAGCTCTAGAAACACTCAACTGATTGATTAATAGATCTTTTTCAGCTCTACTGCTTCTATTAGCCTAACTTTTCCCACTTATATCAAGTATCAAGTAAGTAAGTATTATACTGCCCTCATGAGGAGCTCCAGAAACACTCATCTGATTTATTCATATTGATTAATAGATCCTTTTTAGACCTACTGCCTCCATTATACTGCCCTCGTCGGAGCTTTCGAAATTACGAGAACTGGTTTGCATACTGCTTGTACACTGTGTTTTCAGTGCTTTGGAATAATGATCCCTTGCTAACATGTTTATCCTTTTCCTTCTACTTCTTGAGTAAAATTTACCCCATACCGAGAAGATAACTTTCTTTTTATAAACATCTGACAAAAACACGAAGAAAATCAAATTAAACTACAATACATTACAATTTTTAAACATTATTTATTCAAAAATTCCAAATAATCATGTTTATTACAATTCTCTCCAATCATTTTTTATTACCATGCTATATACATATTCATATACATAGTTATGTATAAAATGAATTTACTTACAACATCTCAGATGCTTTATATATATAGAATTTCTTATTCCTAAATCGGAACAACCAATCACATTTCGTTACTTTTTTTCAATCATGCAATTCATATCGATTTTGCAAAACATGCAACTACTCATACCCCACTGAGTTATAAAAAGTAATAAACATTACAAAAAAAACCAAAGTAATACTTTATCAATCTTATGTTATCTCGGTATTTTAAAGTTCATTCAGATTTTTTCAAAACAAAATGTATTAAAACTTCTGAAATATAAACAAATATTTGATTAATAAAAATTTCAGTTACATATTAGAAAAACATTTTTTTTAATGAATATGAATAATAAATGACAAGCTGGTGTGACTTCTTATTAAATAATTTAAAAAAAAAACAAATCTTTCCTTCCATTATTTTTATCTTCAAACAGGACATGTATTCTACTTGCTATAAAGCAACATTTTTTCAGCTTTAAGTCGACTGCTGGCCACAGTTGTTTGGCCTCAACACTATACCTGCATTGCTTCTCTCCATCCAATGAGTTTATTAGGTTCTTGGTAGGACAGTAAAATGGTCAGTGCATGCCAGTGGCATAAGAGGGGGTGCAAGGGATCATGCACCCCCAAAACAAAGCTTGTTCACCAGGTTTCCCCCCTCCTCCTCCCCCGATGAAAATGTTTGAAGCAAAAAAATCACTCAGGTAGTTAAAATCTCAACATATCACCTTATTTTGCGAGCTAATGCCCCTCACTTAATCGAGCCACACCACTTCACCTTTGTTCCCCTAATCAGCCCACACACCCCCCCCACCACCTCCATTTCAAAACTCGTCTTGCTAGATACGCCACTGTGCACGGCTAGTATACTCCCCCACAAACATTACTTTACAATTTTTATTATTTTAGTTGAATGTGAGCTGACTGGAAGCTTTAAAAATATGGATTTGGGGGAAAAACAAGTGGACACATACATGGATATAGAAGTATAAGGACAAGTGGAGGAATATAAAGGAAAAGAAGCAATGGGTTGAACTTGACATTTCTTTGAGCTTATAGTGACTGTAGATTGATCAAATACCTCCATATAGCACCAATTTCCACAATACTGTACACATATTTAAGATGCATTCACATTGGATCTGAACCAAAATGTGGACCGCTGCAGTGTTTCCAGAGCACTAAATGACAGCACCCCTATCCTTACACACTGATTCAGAATTGGTTTGCTAGGCCTTCAGACCCGCAAAAATGAGGACACTTTTAATGTTACATTTAAATTATTTGAGTGTATCTTCAGAACATAACATTCACCAGAATAAATCGAGACTTTTTTAATACCTTGTTTAGCGAAACCTGCCGCCCGCCAATAATGATGATTTCCAAAAAAAAATAAGTTTGTGCAACATGGTATAAAAAAACTCCCATCTAAAACTACATTTACACTAGACACGATAACAACACAACAACAACATATCATCGTTTATATTCTTCAACACTGAGTGCATTTTTATCGTGTCTTTGTTTTGTCATTATCATATCTAGTGTAAATTTAGCTTAAGCTATCATGAGCTTTAAAATGCACGTTTCAAATAAATTTGTTAGGTCAAACAAGGTGCTCCTATCGTATTTCTTACGACATGTAGTGGCTTAGCTCATGATAACAAATTGGTTTCCAAACCTTGGGGTCTGAGTTCCAATCCCTTGCTGTGCATTTTTGCATTTTATCTGCATTGCTTCCCTCTAAAGGCACTATTATTATCATTTTCATTTTCATTATTAGTACAGGTACCATTTATTAACATTATATAAAAGAGTGAGATGGAAAATTGTGAACATTGTACATGAAAAATTAGAAAATAAAAATACCATAAAAATTCATTTTTAACTTGCTCATTTTAAAGTAACATAAACATTATTAACTATTCAATATAAAATATTTCCAACATAGAAATTTGTGCATTTAAAAAAATGTTTACCCATAATTTTACAGCTAAAATATGATAGAAACACTTCCAGTCACTTTAGTATTTTTATCATTATCCAGTTCACATTTTTTTAAATTAAATTAATTCTATGCTCCAGTTAGTTTACCGTAAAATGAGCAAGGTAACTAAAAATTGTTATTTAATGATTTTTTTTGGCATTTAAGAACCACATTTTAGAACCATTTTCCATGCAACATACATACTGTAGGGTGATGTATAATACAATAATTAATATGAAGCAGATAAAGATTGTTTGTACCGTAAATATATTATCTGAAAAAATACATAATTGGTGAAAAATTGCATTGTTAGTTTTAGATATAAAATTTAATTTAGTTTGATAGTTGAAGTATATACTGTATATGGTACAACACAATTCTTTTTTCCCCCCTTAAATTCCCCTTTTAAATTAAATCTCATATTTTGTATCATTAACTCTCATTCTTATAATCATCATCGTCAAACAACATAAACATCACCTTCATTATTGTCATCCACATCATCGATGACAACATTATCATTATCATTGTTAGCATTATCATCCTCATAGTTGTCATTACTATCATCATCATTATTATAATAATCATTTATCAATATTTTTTCAATCACTTTAACATTATGAATAAGGAGGATTTGCAGTGGTTGTCTTGCATTGCATAATTCGCCTCAAGACATTTTCCATGTGTATCAAAGAATCTACCTCCTACACCCTATCATCGAAATTGGCAGCTATTCGGATTTTCATACCATTCCAACGCTGCCCTAAAATAAAAGAATGAAATGCAGAATTTAGTAATGAAATATTAATTATGATAATGATTATTTCATTTCATTTCTTTAGGCACGAGCGCCAAGGATATGCCAATAAATGAACTTTTTCAACGTGGCATATCTATTTAACAACAGGGGACATAATGGACCAGTACGCCGGAGTAACCCCCTACTCTTCTTGAAGGATGTACCAGGTTCTTTAAAGTGCACTCGATCCAAATGCGTACACTGGGCCTACGGTTTAAAGTCGTTATCCGAGAAGACTTGTTCCACCACTGGAACTATTGGCGAGTGAGGCGTTCGAACCAGCGCCGATATTATACCTGAAGGTTACGGTGCCCCTGACTTAACCGCTCGGCCAATCAACTCGCCCAATATAATGATGATGATGATAAAGGTGATCATACTGATGAAATGTTAAGATGATGATGATGATGATGATGA